TCAGCGTCTCCATGCAGAGCGTGGTGACGCTGAACGATTGTGGGTACTTCCCCAGGAAGCACCTCTAGTAGCCATCTGAGGAGTGGCCACTGAAGGTGCCCCTTGGGAGCAATGTAAACACTGCCTTTTCTCTGAGTTTGCCCTTTATTTTGTTTTCTCAAGTTCTCAATAAATAACCTGAGTGAGACTGATGGATCCTTCTTAGACAGAGTCAATTCCCTGTAGCCGCTTAGGGTATTGACACATCTAGCCAGTGGTACCTCCGCCCAATGTCTAGAAGTGCCAGGCATAGAAAATATATTAAGTAGTCCCTCACTTTGTCTTAGTATATCTCTTGACTGGATTGGAATTTCAGCGAAAAGGGGGATTGACAGTGCCACTTTAAACATATACTAGGGCCAAGACACCAGAGTGATCTTTGTACAGGTCTCAAGAATTCTCATGAAAAAGCCACAACATGTAGGCCAAAATTCTAACAAAGGAAAAAACAATAAGAAGAATATTAGAGTTGCCTTGCTTAAAGGAATACTGTAGCATTAGGAATTCATATCCTAACGCTACAGTATTCATGTCTCGCCCCCCCCAAACTAATTAGAACAAAAATAAATTATTTACTCATCTTCTTTCCAGCGCTAAGATTCCTTCAACATTGCCATGGCCTCCTCCTAGCATAATGCCACACTGACCCTCAGGATCATGGCCAATCCAATGCTCCTCTTAGAAGAGCATTGGGGAAAGTAGGGAGGGGTGAAACATTTTTTTCTAGATTAAGTTATTATAGTGAGTATAGTGTTCATTTAACACCAAAGGAAAGTCTAATGACACACTTTTACTGGGTTGCACTCCCGGTTACATGCCACTAATTAATAATTGTCCCTTTCTTATTAAATCTCTCATGCTACTTCCTCTTTCTTCTTAAATATCCAATCCTTGTTACATTGTTCACCACCATTTATGCAAGCGTGCTATTGGGTTTCCAGCTTCAAAAGGCCTTTTTAAACACTCTGCGAGCCATTAAACTTCTGGCAGGCCTGCATTACCTGCACTGGATGAGCTGATTGTAGCTTTGATGTAAGTTCTCCTCTTCTCAGATTACAGTGGATTTACCTTGTATTGAATGCCCTGGTTTGTTGTATTTATCAGATTTCTTACTCTACTTTCACTTAAGTGTTCCTGATTTCTGTAACTCTGACTCTTGTTTGCACCAGAAAATGGTTATTAAACTAAACGTATAATCAGGAATGAGACAAAAGTTAAGGATACTGGAAAAAAAACCGTGATGCATGGGCAGTTGGGCTGTGTATGAGTGTATGAGTGTATATATTGTGATGTATAGGCGGTTGGGCTGTGTATGAGTGTGTGAGTGTATGAGTGTATGTATTGTGATTTATGGGCAGTTGGGCTGTTGTTGGCTGTGAATGATGCACTTCCTTTCTTTTGGTTCTTTACTTCCTGTTCCTGTTGGCAGTTGATGGAATGTTCGAGGGATTTGAAATGGCGGCTGCAGAACCCTGTGTAACAAGGCTGCAATATGAAAATACTGTTATATATGTATTAATAAAGTCAGTACTTCGTTATACAGGAATTAATGGCTGATTTGTACAAAACATCACAAAAACCATAAAGAACCTAGCCAAGTCAGGGATGTTAGAGAAAGATAGTCAGAGAAACATGGCGAGTGAAAACAAAAGCACACAGAGCAATGAGGAATGTCACAAGAACCACAAAAGTGTCTGATAAGTAAACCTGTTATCAGCCATCTTCCGATAAGCTTCTTAAAGCGGCTCTTTCATGACTAGACCAGCTTTTCACACCATATTAGCCCCCCCTCCCACGTGTTTAAAAATACTCTTTACCCATTTGTCATTCCTTGTTTTATTGAAGCAAAAATATAAACAGACAGGTATTACATTATATTTTAAGCTCAGTTTTCTACCTGGCCCAGATCATTTTTTTCAATACACCATCTTCTAGGTACTAGCAGTGATGAATTGTCCTCGCCCTCGCCTGCCCATATTAGACGCATGCCCAGCAGCAGGAAGGAAGAAGAGGTTGTACTGGGAATGTGCAAAGTTTGGTAAATACAGCGAGGGACGCTATGGACAGCTTAGCATTACAGGGAGTGCAGAATTATTAGGCAAGTTGTATTTTTGAGGATTAATTTTATTATTGAACAACAACCATGTTCTCAATGAACCCAAAAAACTCATTAATATCAAAGCTGAATATTTTTGGAAGTAGTTTTTAGTTTGTTTTAGTTATAGCTATGTTAGGGGGATATCTGTGTGTGCAGGTGACTATTACTGTGCATAATTATTAGGCAACTTAACAAAAAACAAATACCCATTTCAATTATTTATTACCAGTGAAACCAATATAACATCTCAACATTCACAAATATACATTTCTGACATTCAAAAACAAAACAAAAACAAATCAGTGACCAATATAGCCACCTTTCTTTGCAAGGACACTCAAAAGCCTGCCATCCATGGATTCCTTCAGTGTTTTGATCTGTTCACCATCAACATTGCGTGCAGCAGCAACCACAGCCTCCCAGACACTGTTCAGAGAGGTGTACTGTTTTCCCTCCTTGTAAATCTCACATTTGATGATGGACCACAGGTTCTCAATGGGGTTCAGATCAGGTGAACAAGGAGGCCATGTCATTAGATTTTCTTCTTTATACCCTTTCTTGCCAGCCACGCTGTGGAGTACTTGGACGCGTGTGATGGAGCATTGTCCTGCATGAAAATCATGTTTTTCTTGAAGGATGCAGACTTCTTCCTGTACCACTGCTTGAAGAAGGTGTCTTCCAGGAACTGGCAGTAGGACTGGGAGTTGAGCTTGACTCCATCCTCAACCCGAAAAGCCCCCACAAGCTCATCTTTGATGATACCAGCCCAAACCAGTACTCCACCTCCACCTTGCTGGCATCTGAGTCGGACTGGAGCTCTCTGCCCTTTACCAATCCAGCCACGGGCCCATCCATCTGGCCCATCAAGACTCACTCTCATTTCATCAGTCCATAAACCTTAGAAAAATCAGTCTTGAGATATTTCTTGGCCCAGTCTTGACGTTTCAGCTTGTGTGTCTTGTTCAGTGGTGGTCGTCTTTCAGTCTTTCTTACCTTGGCCATGTCTCTGAGTATTGCACACCTTGTGCTTTTGGGCACTCCAGTGATGTTGCAGCTCTGAAATATGGCCAAACTGGTGGCAAGTGGCATCGTGGCAGCTGCACGCTTGACTTTTCTCAGTTCATGGGCAGTTATTTTGCGCCTTGGTTTTTCCACATGCTTCTTGCGACCCTGTTGACTATTTTGAATGAAACGCTTGATTGTTCGATGATCACGCTTCAGAAGCTTTGCAATTTTAAGAGTGCTGCATCCCTCTGCAAGATATCTCACTATTTTTGACTTTTCTGAGCCTGTCAAGTCCTTTTGACCCATTTTGCCAAAGGAAAGGAAGTTGCCTAATAATTATGCACACCTGATATAGGGTGTTGATGTCATTAGACCACACCCCTTCTCATTACAGAGATGCACATCACCTAATATGCTTAATTGGTAGTAGGCTTTCGAGCCTATACAGCTTGGAGTAAGACAACATGCATAAAGAGGATGATGTGGTCAAAATACTCATTTGCCTAATAATTCTGCACTCCCTGTATACTAATCTTAAGTTTGACAAACTAAGTGGAGCTTACCTTAAAGCGGCACTGTCATGCCGAATTTACCTTTCCCTAATCGCTACCTCTTCTCTCCCTCTCTCAGAATCTGTTCTTCTTTTCTTCCTGTCTCATCTAGTTTTCTTTAAAACTAAGATAAAGAAGGGACTATTTTGTCTTCTGTATTTATCCTACGCTTGACCAGCTTTGACCCAGAGGAGGAGCTAAGTCTGCTCCATTTCCTGTGGTCAAAGAAATTATGTTTTATAGAAAAGTAGACCAGATAGGAAGAAATGAACAGATCCCGAAAGAGGAAGCGATTGGGAAAAAAAGGTAAGTTCGGCATGACTGTGCAGCTTTAAGCGGCACCCTTTGTCAAGCATTTTCACGTATAGTAATTTGTAAGGCAAAGTACTGTAGTTCTGCTTTGTGTTCTGTATTTTAGTTAATGAAGGAATACAAAGAAAAGAAGAGCAGGTCAGGAGATGGGGAGGAAGAGGAATGTATTTAAGGAAGGTAAGTATGGCATGACAGAGCCGCTTTAAGATTGCGTGCAAGCATCAATACATGTTTGATACACAGGAACATATGGGGAAAAATTAATGCTGCAGACTAGGGTTATAAATTGACACATAGTCCTGAGTCAAATTGAGTATTGGAGGCCAGAAGCCTTGGTAAGTACCGATTTCACACATGACATGGGATCAGTGGTTCTCCTGATTATATAAAATGACAGGATTACAGGAAGAAGGTGAACAGTTTATTACAGTAAATAGGTGAGTCAAGGTATACAGGTAGGTATTTAAAAAGAGTACACATAACCTAAAATGGAATAAAACAAGGAATGAAAATTTGATGAGTGTTTCTCTTAACGACTTCCATACTAGTTTTGCAATAATGATTGATTTTTTTTTTTTTATTTATACATTTTTTGCTTTTTGTCCCTGGACTCTTTATATAATTTTCATATGTGATGTTAACCACGTGCACATATTTATAATTACCTTTTATATTTCAAAAACATTGACATCTATTATGACAAGTGGCGGGCTTTGAAATTAGGTGTATATCTAGTTAGCTTGCACTTGCCAACCTATTAACTGATCATTTTTGCATTTCTACATCCAGAATTTGGGTACATCTTGTCTTTTTTTTTTTTTTTATAAGATTTTAATCAATTTAAATAAAAAATAATTATAATAACAGTCCAAAGAGTATATATGTAACCACAAGAAAAACAAGGGTGGGGTGTGTGGTACTTATATTGAATGGCGGCTAAATACACAAGAAACCATGTAGCAGCAAATTCTATGATTATAGAAAGTACCAGTGGGGTCAAAGGATCCTTTCTGAGCTCTCCTGCTACATATAGTGAAGCCTTGGCATTGTAGACTTGTAAATCAGTGTAGTTTGGGTCCATGGGAGACTTTCCAGTTAGCCATAGAAATTGCTGTTTAAGGTGTCAGGTTAACACCGGACTATTTCTCCTGTTGGAAAATCTGTTCACCAAAACCTGTTCAGTTTATCCTCTCCTTGTTCTGAAGCTGTAAGACCAGTTTTCTTCGGGTACATTCCCAGAGACAGATATAGAAAAGCCATTTATCTAGCCAAAAGCTGTAAAACAAAATTGGTTTTCAGTTACAAAATATTGTTTAAATATAATTATTTTAAAAAATACATCAGTGTGGTCTTTAGTAAAATTAAATAATGATAAATTCAAACGTATTCTTGCCCATCAGAGCTAGGATATTTACTGATCAGCCACAACATTAAAACCACTGACAGGTGAAGTGAATATCATTGATTATATAGTTACAATGACACCTGTCGGGGGGTAGGGGGGGTTATATTAGGCAGCAAGTGAATAGTCAATTCTTGAATTTCATGTGTTGGAAGCTGGAAAAATGGGCAAGTGAAAAGATCTAAGTGTCTTTAACAAGGACCAAAAGTGGGGCAAGGAAGGACTACAGGGGAGCCGGCATCAGGGTTATAGGTCCCTAAGGCTTATCGTGGCATGTGAGGAGCCAAAGCTAGTCTGTTTGGTCCGATCACATGGATGTGCAGTCAAAACACACCGTGTATGGCAGTTTTCTGCGTATGGGGCTATGAAGCCACAGGCCAGTCAGAGTGCCTATGATTACACATGTCCACCTCAGCACCTTCGTGAGCGTCAGAGCTTGACCATAGAATTATGGAAGAAGGTTGCCTGGTCTGATTGCGTTTCCTTTTAGATCAGGTGGCTGGCCTGGTGCATATGCGTTGGAAAAGATGGCAACAGGATGCAGTATGGAAAAAAGGCAGGCTGGCAGTCAGTGTTATACTATGAGCAATGTTCTGCTGGGAAACCTTGAGTCCTGGCATTCATGTGGATGTTACTTTGACACATACCATCTACCTAGAGAGTGTTGAAGACTATGTGCCCCCTTCATGGCAATGGTGTTAACTGATGGTACTTTCAGCAGCATAATTCACAATGCTACACTGCAAAAATTGTTCAGGAATGGTTTGAGGAACATGACAGAGTTCAAGGTGTTGCCTTGGCCACAGGGCACAGGTTGCATTCAGAGGTCTTGTGGAGTCGATGTCTCAACACATCAGAGCTGTGTCAGTAGCAGTGGGGGGGATCAACACGATATTAGGCAAGTTGGTTTAATGTTGTGGCTGATCAGTGCATGTTTTTGGAAGCCCCTACAAAAAATGTTCTAGGATTCTTACAAAAACATTACTTTGCTAGCTTCCGCACTTACTCAGACCAACGTCTATCATTTTCTAATAAGAGCTATTCTTCAGTTGCTTCTTCAGTGTGCTGTCAGTCCACGCAGTCTGTATGCTGGGAGGAAGTAAGAGTCCCTTCCTCCCAGCACTCTCTGCAACATTAAAGGGGCCCAGTCTGCCAAAGGGCTGCAGCACCCGACCGGGCCCCTGGTGAGGTAGTTCCCCTATGGGAGCTGCACAAATTTCTCAGGAGGGGCTCCATTGCCCCCCCTCACCTTCCCCGGATCTGCCACTGCAGCGGCGGTGCAGCTCAGCTCATTCCGGGACACTACATTGCCCAGGAATGAGGGTGTTTGGGAGAGACTCGCAAAATCTGGGACTGTCCCGGGCGAACTGGGACACGTGGGCAGTGGTGTATTTTGAATTTGTGCTGCCCTAGGCATGAACAAACTCAGGCACTCCCCCTAATTTACATTTTTTCCCACCCCTTCCTGTCAAGGCCGCCCACACTTTGACTGACAGACACTCCCCTACTAATGTATGCACTGAAATGCACACTGTTTAGCCACCACACACTTTCACTGACAGACACACACTCACTGATTTGACACACTCTGACAGTCACACACTATTACCCAGACACACACTGATAAACACACATACTGACTGACTGACAGACACACACACTCACTCATTGACAGACCTATACCCTCACTGACAGACACACACACACTCACCCACTGACCCACACACTGACATACACAAACTGACAGACACACACTCATACACATTTCCCCCAACACTCTCAAATTACTATTATTATTTTTTAAAATTTTAATTTAACTTCACCCTACCTGTGTGGGAGAACTGGAGTGGATTCCTCACCTGAAGTCCAGTAGGGCTGCAGGAGCTGCTTGTGCTGCTGGACAGGCAGGCAGGGGCAAACTGGCAGAGTAGGCAGCGAGGGAGCTCTGATCTTCCTGCTCAGCTCCCTCGCGTGCGCCGCTTAGTAATGCCAGGAGCTGGTCTGACGTCAAATTACGGCTCCCCGCCCGACCGCAAATCAAACTGCCGCCTACCTCGGGGGGTGCGCAAATGTAAACAAGCTGGCCAGCTCTTGGGCCCCCCAGGACACAAGGCTAACAAGGCATCCGCTAGGGTGATTACACCACTGGGCACTCTGCCAGCGACATATGGCTGCATGCCCACAGAGAGGTTTATGCCATAGGTCTCGCCATCGCTGGTGAAGAAGATTATGTAGGAAAGCTGCATAATCCAGACAAAGTCAGGTTATAACAGCTATCATGCGCTGCAGTTAAAGTTTTAAATTCAAATATTTAAAAATTGTAGGGCATTGAAAAGAAAGGGGGATGGGGTGAAAAAAGTTAAGTTTGATGTGCCTTGACCTGAGTGCCCTTAAAATAAAAACAGGGCTATTCAGTAAAGTAAGAATTTAATGTGAATTTCAAATTTAAGGACAAAATTTAAAAAATATCTAAGTCAGCAATGCTTTGATTTCTGTTACTTTGGCCTTAGATTTGAAATTCACTTTGAATTCTCACTTTAGTGAGTAGCCCTGTTAATACCTGCGTTTCAGTGTGTCCAGCTCATCTTGTTACAAAAACTTGTCAGTTAGTTCACCTATTGTACAGCGTTGCAGAACTTGTTAGTGATTTATAAATAATAATAACATAGTTAATATAGGAATTTCTATACTTGTTGCATCATGGTTCTGCAGTTATCTAGGTCTCTAGAAATGAATACACTAACTGGACGATGATTAGGGTAGGTTTGGGATGTTAGAAGATAAATAGTGGCAAATGTAGTATTATAGGGTTATTCACTAAAGTGAGAATTCAAGATTAATTCAAAGAGAATTTCACATTTAAAGGGACACTTTAGTCACCAGAACTACAGCTTATTGTATTTGTACCGGTGTACCTTCAGGCTTTTTGCTGTAAACACTGTCTTTTCAGAGAAAATGCAGTGTTTACATTACAGCCTAGTGATAACTTCACTGGCCACTCCTCAGATGGCTACTAGAGCTGCTTCCTGGGGCAGTGCTGCAGACACTGAACTTTCCTCACAGAGATACATTGATTTAATGCATCTCTATGAGGAGATGCTGATTGGCCATTGGTGTGTTTGGCTTGTGCTGGCTTTGCCTCCTTGACAAGTTCAGCCAATCCAATGCTTTCCTATTGGGAAAGCATTGTGATTGGCCGAAATCACCACTTCTGAGGATGTCAGCCAAGCCGGCAGATCGGGGGCAGAATCAGTACCAGCCGACTAGAATTTTTTTTTACTATATTTAGGGGGGCTATATGGTGTTTTTAACACTATAGTGTCATGAATACATGTTTGTTTTCCTGACTCTATAGTGTTCCTTTAAGGTCAAAATGGAAAAACACTCTAACTCAGGTAGGCTTTCTATTCAGATTCTCTGGCCTTAAAAATTCACTTTGAATTATCACTTCAGTGAGAATCCTGTTAGTCTGCATATTTACTAAAAGAATGCTGAAAAAAAAAAAATGAAATGGCATTTATTCTCCAGCTTTTCACTTTTCTGTTCCACTAGTTATCCATAAACACAAGTAACACACAGATATAGAATTTAACATGGGAGATGGGTAAACCAGCACTATTTGGAAATATTCAGATAAAAATAAAAGATATACAGTTTTATACACCAAAAACAACATAAACATACAACGTTCCATTCACCTCGGTAATGAGACATTCCAGTTCATGTCGGCTCAGTGTCAGGTTGTGTCCTGCAGCTTCAGTCGAAACCTGGGGACAATGACACACTGAAACATACAGGGGTTCATTTATTCAACATTGAGACGTGCAAAGTTGATAACAGACTTGCAATATGTAGAAAAGAACAAATATTCTCCTGTTTTTAACCTGCATATTGAAAGTCAGTAATTAACTCATTACATCGCACTGTTAAATGAATAATTCCACTAGTGTATAGGACAAAATCACTTATTTATCTTTCTTTAATAGACACTACAGCCATGTTTCTTACTAGCATTAGGCAGACTCCAAAATGGATTGCCATGAGAGTATATTTGCAAAAGTAGGTGAAGAATAGGTTCATTTTCTACCTTTACACCTCCCGGTGCCTACCTGACATCTCAGGAAGAAATGTGACCAGCAGAAGGCTGACATGTCAAGTCCACATTCTGACTGAAGATGGTGCAGGATAAAAAGCTACATAGTGAGAATTGTTTGCCATTTTTAAAATGTTAGTTATGTTTGTGAATGTAATTAAAAAGCATTAAGTGTGTGTAAAACATTATAGGACTATAGCCTTGATTTCAGATTGTTGGATAAACTTTTAAAAAGATTTTTTCAAACTATTAAAATATCAAAAAAAAAAAAAAAAAAAAATTAAATAGAAATACAGTAGTTAATTAAAAACATGCTACGATGCATGAGTACTGCTGAGATCATGATTGTACAGAAAGCATTATATTTAGAGTTATGGTAAATATGTTTCTAATTAATATGCACAGATTTGTTTTTGTTTATATGTATGATCTCATATTTGGTTCTCTCAACTGAAACTGCCCTTTATTAGTACATTTCCTGTGTGGCATGCATTGATCTCCCAGCATGTTGTTCTCTACATTATATGCTTTGGTGCTGTCCTACTTCAATTTGCGAGGTACAAGCTGGTTTATGAGTGCTGTCTCAGGCAAACCTTTGATGTCCTATAAGAGAATTCTTTTGTCCCAACGCCTACTTTTAGTTCTATAAAACGCAACAATAAAAATGAAAACAATATAAAACTATCTAGTATAACTGCAACAATCCTGGAATATATACATCTTTTAAAAAAAAAAAAAAGAGAGGTACATGCAAAATTACCACTGCGATGAATTATATGAAGACTTGGGTAGCATCGCAAACTAACATTTATTTTAAAATAATATATATTTTACTTAATTATTATGGCTTTATTCCCTTATGAGCCCTGCAATTAAAAGACGTGATAATGACTCTGGCAACTCATCTTCAACAGTTGAATAATAAAAGCTTTTTTCTTGTCTTAATAGTTTGGGTATGAGTTGCTTTGCCAAAATATTACTCACCTTAGTTTCTCCTCCATCTGTATGCAATGCTACGATAGGAGGTCTGATATCTGCTTCACCTAAAGAAGCAGCAGGTCCAAGGTCCGTCCTTGATACTGATTGAGAGCGTAGGTCACATTGAGACAGAGAAACAGGTTTGACTCCATAAGGAGGTTCATTTGGGCTGGGACGAGGGAGACTAGGTTCAACCTGAGTCAAAGGACATGTCTCCTGCTGAAATGCAGATTCTGTGCTATTGAGTGTCTGGGCAAACGGTATGGTGCAAATACGTGTATGATGCCCAGGTGGTGGGCAATTTTGAGGCTGGGTAGGTGGAAGAGACATATGGGGTACAGGAGTGGAACACCGGTGAAGATGGTGTGTGTATTGAGAACTCGGCTGAATATTGTGTGTGGTTTTTACATGAGACTTAGATGGGATCTGAGGGCAACTCTGCTGTGTGGGAGCTTGAGTACCATACATACGTAACAGGGACTGAGGACAGTACTGAGACAGTTTAGGTGGGATGGGTGGAAGCTGATAGGCGGCCTGGGAATTTTGTTGTGGACAATTTTCAGCCAAAGACACAGGAGCAACACAGAGCTCAGGCTGAGATGGAAATTCAGGGCATATGGGAGACTGATCCGAGGAGGTCTTTGTATTTGGAATTGCACTGAAACAAGAAAAATTGATAACAGATCACAACAAAAACCAAAACAAGCATCAAAACAACTTTCTGTTTAGTGAACAAAACTCTAAGTGTTCTAGTATTTTGTGAATTGTAGATATGAGGGTGATAGAGGGGGGTGGGTTTAAGATACAAGTTGGCCTAATGTCAAATGTCTCCATGTAGAAAATTAATATTAAACCAGTCCTTACTCTTCTGTTAATCTAAAACAGGTTTTTAGTTGTTTATTTAGAATAAAATAACAAGCTGTGATCATCTGAGTGTAGAAAACACTACACATTTCCTGTTTGATTCTTAAAGGGTTATCCTGAGCATCATAACTACTACAGCCAACTGTAGTTCTTATGATATTAAAAGTAAGCTGACGCTATTCACTGGTAATGGTGCAAGGAATATGGACATAATTGACATTAGCCGAATGTGGAGTTACAACCTTTGGCAGCTAGCCTAAATATCTCAGTATGTGTAATACTACTTGGGAGAGATTTATTTGGAACTCAACTGCAGGTGAACAAACACATTTCAAGCTGTCACTTTAAGAAAATATAATTCAATTAAATAAAGAAATTTAACTTTGGCAGACTTCTGCAGCAATAAGGTTTTCAAATAATAATGCATGAATGTTTGTAATCTTGTTTCAAAATTGCATCACAAGAATTATAGTATATAAAAAAATGCTTAAATAGCAATACAGTCCATAGACTTAAATATAACGTTTGACAGAGCAGGTGAGTTGATTCCTGTTGTATGAAATAATACAGTCCTTTTGAAAATAGACAACAAAATATGATAATTAGGTAGATCCTGGTTGCACAGTGGTTATAGTACTTTAGACTTCAAATAACAATGAATTAGACATTTAAAGAATGAGTAATTGGTTTATGAGACATGCAATTAGAATATGCAAATGGTTCCTAGAAGCAGATTTGGTTATTCCTTATCCTTCACAAATAACTTCAGTAAAAAACCTATTGTTAATCCCAATAAGAGGAGAATTTATTTTGCATTGAGTGATGAGCATGCAAGTTCTTCCAGGATAGAGTGGATTATGGTTCCTTGAGGTATGTGGAGAAAGGCAGGAATCATAAGTGAAGTCTTGTTCCAAGTCAGGGAGTAGAGAGTAGAGCGAAGTCAGGGAGTAGAGAGTAGAGCGTAGTCAGGATCACGCTAAGAGATTCGGTACACAGGAAATTATTTAGAAGCTCTGTCGGTAAATAGGAAACAAGGTAGCAAGTATGCAAACACAGGAAAACATTGATTGAGCCATTTGGATGCGGTCGCGGCTTCCTTTTGAAGGGAAGCGTGTGACGTCAGACGCATGGTCAGAGAGATATCGGCGAAATCTAGAAGTCATACGGGTAGTGCCGATCTGGCTAAAATCAAACAAGGAGGAATTCTGAGAGAATAGGGAGGAATCCTGACAGTATGTGAGTTCTTGGCTGCTAATCACACAGCCGTAGGTGGACTTACACCTCTGTCAGCAAAGTTAATTATCTCTATATGTACACCATTTCTTACTACAATGTTGCACATATAGACCCATATCACCATAAACACTTGAAATCACTGAAGATGTCACTGTGCTTGGAGTAACCATTTAAATGTAAATGTTTATTCAGGAAACAGTTATTTGCAATAAACTGACAAGAAGATTGCAAAAGCAAAATTGAGTTTAAAATAGTTGAGTTGAATAATTTCTTTGAATAGACTGACTAAAATATAGTTTATCAATGTTGTCTAAAGGCCCAATGATTCAGTTTTTAACAGACACTGTTATAGTTAATGTGCAGTTCTGTTACTCTGTTGGTTTACCAGTAAAGTTAAATTCCCTTGAGCTCACATTTTTTACTGGAAGAATTAAGGAGATATTGTTTTGAAGTGTATCATGACTGCTGGAAGAATATAGAAAGCTGGACACATCTGCAGTGACAAATTTAAATAATGGAAATTATCAACTGTGGGAATTGGAGGTAGAAATTCTGTTTTTCAAAGCCAATTTGTGGGATGTGTTACACAAGCTACATGACCTGTCGACAACCTGGGAGAATGGGAGATAGAGATCATACAAGCAAAAACAATTATATTAGTATATATTTAAGTATATTAGTAAAATATTGTCACCAGATTCACACCAGAACTGTACACACCAAAACACATATGAGCAGTCAACTTTAAACAGTAAGTAGCATTTAAAAAGAAAATTGTATTAAATAAGGCTGGGAAAATACAAGAACATGTTAGCATTATACTGGAAAATGTGGAAAGCTTCTAGCAATTGGTGTAGATACAGAGTGCAATCATATACCGGTAGTTGCAATTTAGCAATGCAGTCTTCCAGAGTAACTCCCTGAATCTTATAATGTCAGTACAACCTAAACCTCCATGATAAATTACACTAGAATATGCCAAAGACAATTTAATTGCTATTATTATTATTATTATTATTTGTAAAGCACTAACTTCTTCCACAGCGCTGTACAATAGTTTCACAAGACATACAAATAAGTTCAACTGAGAACTAAGGGGAACCAATTTTAACACGTGCACATACTCTCCGTTACATGTATCTACAGTCCGACTGGGGAACGTGTCCCGGGGTTTTCAGAGCCCATCCAGACGGCAATTACCAGTGAAGCCTAGCAGGCGCTCAGGAGGGGAAAGGCAGCCGATCTCCCAGTCCGTTGAAGGCAGGACTCTAACTATTGTTTTTGCACCCCGCTGTACTCCCCTTTGGACCGAAATCATCAGATCTCAAGCCTTATCAGGGATCTGTGGCGATGCTGCAAAAACCAGCAATGACAACGCCACAGATACCCCACATCTCAGAGGAGAGGAGTCCACCACTCTTCATCGCTTAGAAGCAATATTTGCCGCATTCTGGTGAAGGCTGAGATGTAAGCAGACTTCATCTGTCCCTGAGCTCGTGGCAGCTCCTTCCGGACCAGCCCAACACAATCTAGGTTCTCCAGCAGCTTCGATCAGGGGCCCAACACGCCTGAGGTGACCAGTTTGCTGAGTTTTCTTG